GGGGGGGGGGGGGGCGGGGGACCGGGGCGTGCGGCAATCGGAAGAGGGATGGCGAAGGGGGTTGTATGGGAGGGGAGGGGGAGGACACGCGCCCCGAGGGCGGCGGCCCCTCGGGCCAGGAATTCGAGTTGGGGTCGAATGCCCAAATGCACGCGCAGAGGAACCGAGGGGACTTGAAACATCGGGCCCGCGGCCCCGCGACACAGGGGCGGGCGGGCGCCGCGGGGCAGGGGCGGCGCGGGGCGGGGCGAATTTCATTTCATTGAATTGAGCGACACCAGCCGCTTTGCGGTCAGACGACCCGACGCCAACTATGCTTTAAAGCAAGCAGCACGCGGGCAGCTCCCTTGCCCCTCGTCTCCCACCGCCTGCTCCCACCCGCTGCGCTGCCGCCGACGCTATTGTTGCCCCCCGTTTCTGACGGCCGCGTGATGCTGCATTGTTTCAAACGGACACTGCTTGTGCAACGTGCCTGTGCCCCGCCCGCATTCGTGCGCCCACCCACGCACACACACGCACATTGACTAAAGCACAAAAAACGCGCACGCGCACGCACATGCACACACACGAAACTGGACGAGCCTACGCGCGCCGTCGCTGCAGTCGCGCGCGGACGCAGGCGCGCGCGCGGAAGCTTCCGTGCTGCGGCGTCCGCCCGGGAAACGCATTCGCCGATTTTCTTGGGAAACCGAAGGTCTTTTGGGGATCCCCTGATTGTTGGCGCGCACAAAACCGCGAGCGCCCAAGGAACCCCCCATGCCTGCAGTGCTGCAACCCCGCCTGTTCTTTCAGGCTCCATAAATCTATAAGCTCAAGAGACATTGACGTATTTGGCCCTTCCTGACACACACACACACACACACACACACACACACACGCACACATGTGCATGTCTATGTGCGCGCGACGTGTGCGCGCGCGCTCGCCCCACACCACGGAGCGCGGCGAGCCTTGACGCGGCCTGCGGAGGCATCAGCGGCAACGCTGGGGACATTTCCTGTCCTCTCTCCCTCTCCCTCTGGCCCTCCCCACCCTTTTGCGCGCCGCGCCGATTCCTGACTTCTCTCCCCTCACTCCCAAGCTATCGACCCACGCGTGCCTGTCTCTCTTCTTACTCATCTGCTTCCCTTGCCTTGAAACCTCGCCCGCGCCGCGGCCGAGCCGCTGGACGTGCAAGAGCCCCTGCATCGAGCCGAGGCCGCGGCCCCCGCCCCGCCGGCCCCGTGGCGCCGACGCGCGCCCTCTTGCTCTTTGCCATTCGCGCCCCCGCCGCCGCCGCCGGCCCCGCGCCCCTGACCAAACGGGCGCGGCCGGGCCACAGGCGGGGGCGGCGCGCCCTCCTTACACTGCGTGCTGAGCGCCCCTCAGCTGGACTTGAGGGATGACATCACTATGACATCACTGGAGCCGGAGCCGCCGGGACGCCTGGGGGGCTACGTCGAGCGCGCCGCGGGCCCTAAGGGCGAAGCGGCGGGGCGCGGCGCGCGCCCTTGCCTGGCGCGGTCAACGCGCGCTCGCTGCCGCCGCCCTACCTCGGCCGCGCGCGCGGCGTCCCGCCCCTACCCCCCTTTCTATGTGAATCGTGACCCCTTCCTAAACACTCTGTTGATGTTACATATAATTACGTGCGTGCGTATGTGCCTCAAGCCTCGCGACGGCGGCGCTATGTAATCACTGTTGGCCTGCTATGAGGATGACAGGCCCGCTTCTCGCGGCGGGTGACGCCTGCCGGCAGACGATGTGCTCTCCCCCTTGGCCGGCACCTGTGGGGCGGCCAGCCAACTTGTGGGCTCCGTGCCCTAACCCTGGGTCTCTGAGGGCCGCGCTGCAGCAAACACGCGTGCTCCTTTTCGGTCGGCGCCGAGGCATGTGATGCGGGCCGGTCTGGGATCTGGACAGTCAGGTTGTTTCAGCTGGAGGGGCTGCTCCTGCAGGGTTGGACCCTGCCGGGTCGCGGGCCCCGTTGGTGCCCGCACGCGCGCGCGCGCCAATCCTGCAGAACCTCCAGCAGACCGGTTAGACCGGTTGGTGACCAACCGAGCCGCCAACCGCCGCGAGAGGGCGGCCGCCTCCACCACATTTATTGGCATCTGCATAACGAGGCGACAATAATGCTACTGATTGAACCGGGGCGGGCTCAGGGGGCGGCCTCAGGGGGCGGCGCTGCGTGTGGCGCGCAGCCTGGTCGCAGGAGGGGGAAAAGCGTGCGTGCGCATGCGAAGGGGGTCCCGGTGACAGTGGGGGTGGGAGAAGGGCGGCGCCGGCGCCTGTCAGTGAAGGTCAGCTGGGGGAAGCAAGGAGGCGTACATGGGTCGTGGCGCAGGAGCGCGACCAACCAACCCAAGCGGGGCTGTGGGGACAACGGGTGACGATCTGTACAGTATGGCACCGCCGTTCCGACCAGTGGCCCAAAAGAGGTGGGCGCATCGCAATAAACAGAAAAAACAAAGGAGGTACAGCAAGAGGCTGAAGCTGAATTGTAGCGAGCCGTGGTCGGCGTCGCAGCGGTGGTGCACGAGCCTAACCAGAGATCTAGAGCGCTTTGGGGCTGGGGAGTCACATGAAGTCGCATCTGAGCTGCCTAGAAGACAGAGATAACGGCTGTGAAGACAGAGACGCTGGGGCGCAGCGCTTCGCGCCAGCAGGACCCCGCGCTTGGTGCAACCCTCCGACTGCGCAGCAGCTGCTCAAAAAGGCGCTGTGCCTGTGGCCAAGCCTCAGTGCGGTTTCACAGGGCAGCGTAAGGCGGTTTAGGGCTCGCTGAAGCATTTGATAACTCACCGTACGTTGAGGACGCATAACGTAAACCAGACCGTGCGCAAGCTTCCGCTGATTGCGTGCAGTACAAGTTAGAATTGTGGGCCATTCGCGCAACCCCTTGATCAGCCAGAAATACTCTCCCGCAAGGTGGCCGCTGCAGCCCCAGCCAGGGTCTCAATGCAGCGGGTTTCAGCGCTGTGCCGCGCTGCACCGTGGTTGCGCTGCCAGATGGCGGCCGTTGCTGCTCTCCGCAACAGGATAAGAGATGCAGAGCAGGTGGGCGCCCCATCTTCCAGGGCCGCTCCGCACGGGTGCTGCTGCGCGGCGCCCGCTGCGGCGTCCCTGCTTGTGCTTGGTCTGGGAGGGTACTGGGAGGGGGCAGGCGGGCGCTCCGCTGGCGGCTGGGCCAGCTGCGGGCTAGTACCGGCCTGTGCTGCGGCCAGCGTCCTTTGACCGGGGAGTCGGCGCTGTGTTCTCTCTCAGACCCACACCCGCACGTGCCTGGATCCGCGTTGACCAGCCTCGATCCAGCGCCCTGCTCCGCACGCAGGTGGCGGCAACCCCGGAGACGTTTTTGCGCGCCGCCAACCTGCTGATGGCCGCGGTCGTGATACACTCCGGTTACGGCTTGTGTGCCAGCCTAATCGGATTGCGGGGGGACCTCGACAGGCCGCTCGCCAAGGACGAGCGCCGCGTCTCCAAGATCGACGCCAGTGTTGACCGCGTTGACGCAAGTTTTGACGGCCTCGGCGCCGAGATCGACGCCAAGCCGGACAAAAGGTTTGACCGCGTTGACGCCAATTTTGACCGCCTTGGCGCCAAGATCGACACCAGTTGTGGCCGCCTCAACGCCAAGATCGACGCCAAGTTCGACGCCAGTTTTGACCGCCTCAGCGCCAAGATCGACGCCAGTTTTGACCGCCTCAACGCCAGTTTTGACCGCCTTGACGCCAGTATTGGCCGCCTCGGCGCCACGAGCAATGCCAAGTTTGACGCCCTTGTGCAGCAGCAGCACGCGGCTTTCCACCCGCGTGACGCGGCCGGAGAATGACCGCTTCTCAGCAGGCAAGGGCAAATACCACAGAGCGGCACGGGCCGCGTGGCAGACGAGCATGGAGGGGCGGCCGCGTCCTTCCCCCAGGAGCCCCTCCTATGTGCTGTGATCAGAGCTAACGCCCGGGGCACAAGGCAAGGGGATTCTTGGGTCACTGCGACGCTTTTCCTTGGTTTGCTGAGCCGCCGTGCTCTTCCGCGCCTCCGTTGCTGCCACCCCCCCGCGAGGGCAGACACTCCCGCAGTGCCCCCGGCCTTGAAAACCGCTGCTGCTCTCACCCGCCGCGCCGGCCGCCACGCCGCCGCTGCTGCCAGCTGCGCCCACGCCCACGCCCACCGTGCGGCGGCGCCACCCCGGGCCGACGCAGCAGAGGCCCCGCCAGCAGTGCCGCTCGGCCCGCCGCCGGGCCCCGGCTCGGGCGGCTACCGCGGGGCCTGCATGTCGCACAGCATGTACGCCTGCGCGCCCTGCACCGCGCGCCTGAACAGCGGCCACGCCACGTCTTCCAGGAGCGCTGTGTTGCCTGTGTTGGGGGCTGCAGGGCGGCCTCGCTGCTCTCGCTGCCTTGGCGCGCTGACGTGGGGTGCGTGGCCGCGCTGCAGTGTTTGCCTGAGGGCCTCTTTGCGTCTTGTGTTGATCTTTTAGGCCCTGCGGCCTGCTACCCCCCTGCCTGTTACCAGTGCTGTTTATGGGAGTCCCAGCGACGTGCACGATCCACACCACGTGGAGTCCAAGTGTGGAGCTGCGCACAACGGCGCGCAAAGTCAAAGGTTTGCACAACCCCCTCGTATGGCAACCGGTCCCAAGTGACGATTAAGGTAGAAAAAGGGCTCCCTCCCGAGTAAGGTAGAAAGGTGACAGGTTGCATGTTGACCAGCCAGCCTGCTCAGGGTCACAGCGGTGCCGCAGAGCTGCACAAGACTAAGTAGATATCTGGAGCGTTGTGGCGCTTGGGAATCACGCGAAAGCGCACCTGGGCTGTGAGGGCCTAGGAGACGAAGACGCTGCCACGGCGCTGCGCTGCGCGCCGGCAGGACCCCGCACATGGCGCGACTGCGCGGCAGCTGCCGGTACAGGCGCAGCACCTGTGGGCAAGCCTCTCAACAGCTTCGCGAGGCAACAAGAGGCTCGTTGCAAAGTTTGGTAACTCACCTTACGTTGAGGACGCATCACGTAAACCATGCCGCGCGCAAACTTTCCCTTTGCTGGTTTTTTGAACAACTCAGAGTTGTGCTCCATTCGCGTTTACGTTTCTTGATCGGCCAGAGATGCTCTCCCGCAAGGAGACTACTGCGGCCCCGGCCAGGCTCTCAATGCGGCGGGTCCCAGGGCCGAGCCGCGCTGCGCCGCGGTTGCGCCGCAAGATGGCGGTCGTTGCCGGCCTCCGCGGCCGGAAAAGGGACGGAGAGGAGGTGGGCGCCCCATCCGCCAGGGCTGCACTGCGCGGGCGCAGCTGCGCGGCGCCCGCTGCGGCGTCCCTGCTTGGTCTGGGTGGGGGCTGGGAGGGGGCAGGCAGGGGGGTGCAGGTGGCTCGGCGGCCACGGTACAGATTTCTTTCCGCGCTTCCCGCCTGCGCCGCGGTCGGCGTGCTGTGGCCGGGATGTCAGCGCTGTTGACTATCTTTGACCGTCAGCCGCACGCGCCCGGCCCTCCGTTGACCAGCCTCGATCCGGCCCCGCCGCCCACGGCTTGCCCCCACTGCTCCGGGCACGCGCGCACTTGCAGGGTGTGGCGGGCCGGGAGGCGTTTTTTCTCGTCACCAACCTGCTGATGGCCGCCATCATCATAGGCTCCGGTGCCCGCTTCTATGTCACTGCACTTGAAGTGCGGGGGGACCTCAAGGAACTGCGCGCCAACATTGACCGCCTCGGCGCCACGATTGACGAAAGGTTTGACCGCCTCGGCGCCAATCTTGACCGCCTCGGCGCCAATCTTGACCGCCTCGGCGCCAATCATGACGAAAGCTTTGACCGCCTCGGCGCCAATCTCGACCGCCTCGGCGCCAAGATCGACGCCAAGTTTGACGCCCTGATGCAGCAGGAGCAGCAAGCAGCTGCTCGGCGGCGTGACGCGGCCAGAGAATGACCGCTTCGCGGCATGCAAGGGCAAACAGAGGAGCACGGCAAGCAAGCCGTGGAGGGGTGGTCGCGTCCTTTCCCCAGGAGCCCCTCCCACGTGTTGTGATCAGAGCCATCAAGGGCACAAGGCAAGGGGATTCTTGGGTCATTGCGCGCTTTTCCTTGGTCCGCGGAACCGCTGTGCTCTTCCGCACCGCCGTTGCTGCCACCCCCCCAGGGCAGACACTCACGCAGTGCCCCTTGCCTTGACAACCGCTGCTGCTCTCACCCGCCGCGCCGGCCGCCACGCCGCCACTGCCGCCACTACCGTCAAATACGCCATGCCCACCCTGCGGCCTCGCGGCCCCCGGCCGTCACAGCAAAGGGGCCGCCAGCAGTGCCGCTTGGCACGCCGCCGGGCCCCAGCTCGGGCGGCTTCCGTATCGCCTGCATGCCGCACAGCATGTACGCCTGCGCGCCCTGCACCGCACGCCTGAACAGCAGCCACGCCGCGTCCAGCTGCAGCAGGGCTGCGACGCCCGTATTGGAGGGTGCAGGGCGGCCTCACTGCTCTCGCTGCCTTGGCGCGCTGATGCCAGGTGGCCGCGCTGCAGTGTTTGCCTGAGGGCCGCTTCCCATCTGTTGTCTCATCGATCTTTTGGGCCCTGGGGCCTGCTACCCCCCTGCCTGTTATCAGTGCGTGGA